GAGGGCGGCCCGCAGCGAGCTTCTGGGGAGAACGGCTTGCTGGAGACCCAATCTAGGGTCTCCGAGCCCGAAGCGTCCTCACGAGACGACCTGTCCTAAGCATAAGGTACTCTTTGACTCCTAGAATTTAGTGGTGACCACCCCAGACCACATTTTCGAGAGGGGATCCCGTGCCTTGTTCCCTTGCACCAGCAGGAAAGAGAGTTTCCAAATGGAGGTCTCGACCACAGTCCACTGGCAAATTCGCCATCTTTACCGACCCCACACAGACGCAGACAGGCCTCTACCTATAGTAGATCTCAAAAGCTGAACACGTTTCTGTATGCTAGGTGGAGCATTCTTTCTGGGGATCCCAGACCTTTGAATCCCAGCTGCCTTTATGGTTTCTGCTGTGTTGTATGTCATGGTTAGGCACTGACTGTGGGATTATAGTTACTCCCAGAGCAGCAGGGTGGTGTGTGGCCTCCGCTGTCATCCTTGCAGTCAATAAATATTCACGGTACCTGCTCTGTGCCAGGCATTGCACGCAGGCTTTGACAAAGACCAGGCCTTTGCCTTCCTAGATCCCAAAATTTGTCAAGAGAGATAGCCACGTAACCCCAGAAATACACAACAGCAAGGTTAGCCTTACAGTAGGGAGTGTCCCAAATTGTTTAGCGACTTGACTACTAGCAGAAAGGTTGGTGGTTCATACGAAGAGAGGTTGCGATCTGCTTCTGAAAGATCAGTCTTGAAAACCCTATGGAGCAGTTCTGCTCTACACACATGGGGGCGCCACGAGTCAGAAATGACTGTGACAGCTAACAACAAGGGCAGCCCAGGAGATGTGGAAGCTCAGGGGAGGTGCAGTCCAATGTGGAGGTTGGGGGAGGCTCCCTTGATTTCTGAAAGCCAAGTAGGAACTAGCCAGATAAACAGATAAAAGAAGATGAGTGTTTATCTTTAGTGCCTTCCAACTTTTCTGCAAGGGAGAGACAATGGTAAAATGTTTGACCCTTTTCTGACCTCAGGAGGAGCCAGTGCCTGAGCAGGGCAGAAACAGGAGTGGTAGGAATTTATACTCATCATGCTATGTACTTGATATCTTGGTGTGCCTTAGCAGACATTTTAAACATAGTATGTAAATTGCCATGTCCCTTTTTAAATGCACTTCATGAGCAGTCATTAAGGAGATTTTGTGATATTTCAGCTATATGATGAGAAAAGGAAAATGCCTGTCAGATTTTTTTGAGTGAGTTCCATTGAAATGCATGGGTTTTTTTTTTAGCTTGAAACTTGTTTTCATGATTATTACCAAAGATTGCTTTCCTTTTTTGAGATGAAAACCAGCCTTTCGCCTAGATTAGCAAGATCTTTCAACATGCCTACTAATGCTTGCCAGACAAGGTTTTAGGTGGTGGGAATGCTTTCATTGAGGTCCATGTAATCAGGGAGATTACATTCTAATAGGAAAAAAAAAAAAAAACAGAGCCACTGAATTGATTCTGATTCATGGCAACCCATGTGTACAGAGTAGAACTGCTTTATAGGTTTTCTTGAACGTAATTTTTATGGAAGAAGATCACCAAGCCTTTCTTCCATGGTGTGGAGAGGTGGGTTTGAACCCAGACCATATGCACCGCCCAGGGACCTTACCATTCTTATAGAGGGAGACAGAAATAAAGACACAAATAAGTGAGATAATCTCATAATGGCCAACTCTACTGATTACTACTGAAACAAAAAAAAACCCAAACTCATTGCTGTGGAATTGGATCTGATTCATAGCAACCCCTCCTTGGGTTTCCGAGGCGGTATCACTGTAGAAGTAGATTGCCCAATCTTCCTTCTGAGAAGTGGCTGGTGGGTTTGAACCACCAGCCTTCTGGTTAGCAGTCAGATGCCTTAGGCACTACACCACCAGAGCTCCTAATTACTACTGAGGGGATGAGTAAAAGGAGGATAAGATGATGATTTTGGTCTTTGGTTATCTTGACAAGAGCAGTGTGAATGGAGCAGTAGGAATAGAAATCTAGTTGGAGGAGGCTAAAGAGAGAATGGATGGAGAGTAAGTGGAGCTAGAGATTTTAAATCTTTTCAAGCTTTTAGAGTGAGGGGGAGCAGAGAAAGAGATCTGTGAGTCTTTTTTTTTTTTTAAATGAATTGGAAGATACTAGGGCATAATAGTATACTGATTGGGGTGATCCATCAGAGAGGGAAAGAGGTTGATGATGGTACAGCAAGAAAACAATTACAGGATTTCAAGGAAGCACTTGATCCATGGAAAGAGGAGAGAAAGCAGCAAAGGGGTACAGCTATTAAGAATGTGGGTGCAAATACAGGTAGCTAGCAAGTTAAAGAAAATAAAGTGTTCTTTTCTCTTGTAGGTTTTCATCCACATTTCTAGGTATGCCTACCCTGACCTGTGTGTGTTTTGTTTTTGTGAGTGATATGGGAATGGGAAGGTTTATCATTCTTAAGCAAAAGAAATAGTAATTTTCAGAGGACTAACAATTGAATTTTGTTGATCAAACTGTCCACAATTGGGTATTCTTATAAAAAGTTTAGCTACTGTTACACATCCAGGGTCTGCATTGCTATTTCTTGTAACCAGATCAGCCAAACTCTGTTACCAAGAAGAGTATCAGGCAGGGAAACGGATCAGACATAATCTGTGATAACTGGCATTTTGTATGTAGGTAACTGTGGAACAGTTTTAGAAGCAGGTGGCTTTTGCCTAAGCGCATCAAATACTTACTAAGAGTGTGTTTATCATTTGTCCAGCTAAATGGAAAAGCACAAATTCATATGCCTCTCAATCCACATACTACATATAACCATCTGTTACTAGTTGATGAGGTAAAAGACCATCCCTGTGCCATTAATTTAGGTAGGATTTAAGTTTATCTCAAAGGAGATCATTTTTCCCAGCAGCCCACAATATGATAGAGACATCTGGCTCAGGATGTTTTCATTAGAGAGGAAATTTCATTGGTATAATATACCTCATATATACTGCTCCAGAAAGAAATGAGTATGTCATTGTTATTTGGAAATTTGAATTATTTTCTAATAAATTTGTAATCTGGCCTATGATCCCAATTATTTGAACAGATCTTCAGTATATTTCTCCTCTTTTCAAAGGCCTTGAGATGTGCCTGATAAACACACAATTCATGCAAGAAGAAATCAAGCTTACTTTGATTCTCAGAAATACACCACTTTTGAAAGTGCTTAGTAAAAATTAATAGCCTCATGTAAATGTTCGAACAGAACAAGAGGAAAATACATGGTTTAAAATCAGTAAGGGTGTGCATCAGGGTTGTATCCTTTCATCACACTTATTCAATCTGTATGCTGAGCAAATAATCTGAGAAGCTGTACTATATGAAGAAGAACGTGGCGATAGGAATGAAGGAAGACTCATTAGCATGCAATATGCTGTTGACAACCTTGCTTGCTGAAAGGGAAGATGACTTTTGAAGCACTTACTGATGAAGATCAAAGACTACAGTAGTCCTCACAGCTGGACCAGTAAGCAACATCACAATAGATAGAGAAAAGACTGAAATTGTCAAGGATTTCATTTTACTTGGATCCATATTCAACACCATGGAAGCAGCAGTCAAGAAATCAGACATTGTCTTGCATTAAGCAAATGTGGCGTAGTGCCTAAGGTTGGGCAATCTACTTCATAATGATACCACCTCAGAAACCCCAGGAGGGGTCACTGTGAGTCAGATCCAACTCGACAGCATTGGGTTTGGTTTGGTTTGGTTGTTAGTTGTCTTTGAGTCAGCTCTGACTCATGGTGATCTTATGTAAAACAGAATGAAACAATGCCCAGTGTGTGCCATTCTTATGATCATTGGTGTGCTTGAGTCTGTTCTTGCAGCTATTGTTGTCAGACCATCTCATTGAGGGTTTTCCTCATTTTTGCTGACTCTCTACTTTACTATGATGTATTTTTCTAGCAGTTGGTCTTTCCTGACACATGTCCAAAGGAAATGAGGTGAAGTTTCATTATCCTTGCTTCTAAAAATACATTTTCGTTGTGTTTCTTGTTAGACTAATTTGTTCATTTTTCTCGCAGTCCCTGGTGTATTCAGTATTCTTCACCAACACCACAATTTGAACGCATTTGTTATTCTTTTGTCTTCCTTTTTCATTGTCCAGCTTTCAGATGCATATGAAGTAAATGAAAAGACTATGGCTTGAGTCAGGCACACCTTAGCCATCAAAGTGACATCTTTGCTTTTTAAAACTTTATAAAAAGGTCATTGGCAGCAAATTTGCCCAATATATCATTTAATTGAGTGACATAATTTTTTTTTCACACAACAGGTAAGTTTATTAACTGTACGTTGTGAGATTTTTTACTATTCATTAAGCAGAAGTGGATCATCATAAAAGTCTTCATCCTCATCATCTTCATGTTGTATTGGCTGAGGGAGGAGGAGGGGTTGATCATGCACTCTCCAGTGGCAGGCGGGAAGAGGTGGAAGGGGAGACAGGAGAGAAAGGTACACTTGGTG